GAGAGAGAGAGAGAGAGAGAGAGAGAGAGAGAGAAAACATACCCTTCTATTATTGAATATATGGAAGTCTTTGACCAAAACCTCGCGAATGAGTTCGGGATCCGAGAGATAGAGAACCGGTTTTCCCAACTCATAGACACCGAAACACTTGCCGTTACGGACGTAGAGATCCCGTTCCCAATAGAAAGATGATTTCGTAAGCTTTGTGTACAAACCCACGCTATCTGTACGTACGCCTTGTTTTTGCCAATAATCGCATTTCCACTCAATGTATCTGTAATTAATTATTTTGGAAAATTTATAAATTAAATAATACAACATATTGAGCTAGATCACCTGAAAATCAAATACAGCGCGATAGCAATACTAGCAGTAGATATGAGTAACCATTTTATTATTGATATTTCGAGTATCGTTTGTAGTGTTGACAACATTTTTGAAAACTTATTTAATTGATTCGCATTTTATTCAAAACATTATTACTTAAAGTTTGCAAACAATTAAATAGCTGTTGAATATCGTGGTGGTATTTATACGATTAGAAAATGTTCATGTCACTGATGACTTTGCAGTTACTAATAAAACAAACCCGGATGCACTTGATTGCGGATCCAACAATAGGGGCACCACCACGACCTGATCAATTGTTGGTTGCGGTTGCCTATGCCCGGGGCAACTAAGACCTCCCGAAAGAAATAGTGATCTCAAACAAACTGGAGTTTATACTTAAATATAATAATATAGGAATTGTTTTTAAATTTTGTATATTAGACTTAAATGAAAGTCACTTATTAATTTTGAAACTAGGTACAGTTTAAGAAACTAAAAATAAATTGGGTAATAATTAATTTTAAATTAAATTTCCGTCTTATTGACGGGGGTTACCGTTCACGTCGAATATGGTCATGTCATGTATACATTGAATAGTTTGAGAACAACCTTCATTAGAAAGGCACAAACAACTAGTCAAGATCAGTTATTAACATTCACTTATATATATATAAAGATCTTCAATAAGTTCCGGACTGATAGGTTGTTTAATAACTCGGTTATTACTTGAAACTAAAATCTATACTCTGGCACATTTAAACTACATTATGAGGTAGCCCTGAATAATCAAGAATATTCTGTGATATTGGCTGATATGCTGGACCCATAGTCAGCGCAAATATTACTTATGTTACAATGATATGGAGTAAGGGTATGGTAGAGGGGATACTACTTTTCAATACTATCAAAAAATGATTAAAAATTTATAATTAATAAATTTTGACAAAGTCCCATGTGTTTCGAAAATAAAATAAAATATTTGAAAATGTTTTATGCCTATCATAAGCGAAATTAAATTCTAATATGTATAGCACAAAATATTTTTAAAAATATAACTTGTAGGGGTTTATAAAGTTATAAAAACACAAAAACACTAATAAAAAGTGAATAATGTACTTTATTGATTTATAAAACAATTTATAAAACCTGTAAATGTTAATATAAAAAATTATTCATATTAGGATTAAATTGCACATATGATAGGTATAAAACATTTTTCAAATATTTTATTTTATTTTCGAAACATGGGATTCTATGACAGAATTGACCATTTTCAAAGTTAAACTGTAAGCAGGCATGCAATATATTTTTTATTATTTTTTATTATCGAAAGATAGTATCTCTACCATACTCTTATCCCATATCATTGTAACATAAGTAATCTTTGCGCTGACTATAGGTCCAGCATATCATCCAATATCACAGAATATTCTTGATGTCATAAAGAATATTCTTGTTTATTCAGGGCTACCTCATAGTGAACTTTAAATGTGCCAGAGTATAGATTTTAGTTACAAGTAATAACCGAATTATTAAGCAATCTGTCATTCCGGAACTTATTGAAGATCTTTATAACTGTTTACTAAAGTTATTAAAGTAATAATACAAATAAAATTCAAAAATATAATTTAATGTAATTTTATGAAATTAAATTATTGTAATTTAAAATAATAGTAAATGTTAACAAATGATCTTGACTAGTTTTTATGTATACAAATTTTTATTTTTATGTATATCTTGAACAGTATATAATACTGTTTACCGATTTTGGACACGACTTTTAACAAAAAAGTTATTAAAGTTTTGCCAAACTTATTTTCACGTGTACTACCTTATACTAAAATAATTAGTAAGCATTTATAAAATAATAGTCATTATTTAAACAATATGTGCGACATTATTAAAAGTTTTACCTAATTTATTAAGTTTTGTTAATAATTTAATACAATAAAAATGTCTGAAATAAATGCCGACAATAGGAATGGGAGTCCGAGAGAGACCATAAAAATCACATACAAAATGTTCTAGTACAATGTTCACATCATACAAGATTGTTGGATATTTATTTTTTTTATCTATTTCAAATATTAATTATTATTATTGCTCAATTATAAGTTTTTATAACTAATATTACACTGAAATAATTAGTCAGCATTTATTAAATAATAGTCATTATTTAAACAGTATTTTCGACATTATTAAAATGCAATTACAAATTACAAATTTTTCTTATTTTATTAAGATTTATTAATAATTTAATACATTATGACACTATTTTATTCAATAATAAGTAATTCATGAAAATAATTAAATAAATATTAAAGAGATTAACTTATAATTAAATCTTTAATTTATTTAATAATCAATATAATGTTCAAATAAAATTTTACAAATAGTAAATTAAGCAAGATATTTGATATTTTAAAACATCCTACTACAATTCATTTTTATAAATTTCAAAACAATTTGCCCTGAATGCCCTATTATAATTCATTTTTTATAAATTTATTAACGCCTATAATCACGCTTTCAGTTAATATATCATAGTATTTATAAATGACAAAAAATATGTTCAAAATAAATATAAAGTAAAATCAATTATTTGATATTATTTGGTATCTCTTAGTCTCTACTACAGTGTGTCTCATGGTGGAGCCGACACTATTAATGCTACGGCCCAGGCAACCAATGGGAGAGTGAGTTGAATACACAGTAACCTTTTAGTTTTGCACTCTGACCCATGACCCACACGTGATACCCATATATTAGAAAGTGATATTAGAAATATTTTTCATTTGAATATCTTGTTGTGGGGAATTGAAAGACTATGTCTTTATACTTAGTATAGGACGAAACTAAAGCCAACGGAATGGAGGATAACTAGACTACCTCCAGGTCCACCGGCATTCCAGCTCCACCCGTTCTACAGTATACCTGTACTCCAAATTCTTAACTTCCAGTTCTAAAAATTAATTAAGTCTCACAGTCCCCATATGTTTCTAAAATATAGTATAAAAGGAATGTGCAAAGTTAAGGCACACCGCTTTTTGTTATTCAATGAAACTTTTGTAAAAACTTTAGAAAGCCATCAAATAAAAACTTTTTATTCAATGATTACCTAGTTATTTTATATAAGATATAAGATATAGAACCCCTATATCTTTCATTTATCTGTAAAAATGATAAATAAATTGAATCCAAAAATTGTTCAGGTTTGCCGTGACTGATCAAATTTAAAATATGTCCACTGGTCAGTTAGTTATTTGAGTTTAGGTATTGTCGGTTTTAGACCTTTTGGAGGTAGAATCAATGATTTTTATATTTTCAAAGATCGTTCGAACCCTTTTGAGAGAACCTAGATACAAATTCAGTGTTGAGATAAATCAGTCTACAAATGTGAATTTTTAATATCTAAGGAATTATTTAAAACTAACCATGTTAAACTTTTACAAATCCAATAATTACTTTTTTGGGAATAATTTTGCGAATCATTTCCAAAAACATAACTGTAATATCGCCTATTGTTTTGAGATTAAGGTAAACCCTTTGAATCTGGGACAAATGTGGCATATCAATATATAAATTTTAAAATCATATTTCAATTTTAATTGATTTAGCTCAAATCTAGATTTAATGTAGGTAGGTTTAACAGAATGTATAAATAAAGGTTTTGCTTAAAAATTTAAAATAATATCAAAAATCAGCAAATTGTTTTTTACTGTATATATTTATAATAGACTATCTACGCGTTACCGTACTACAGTGTGTTTCACCATCAGCCGCTGACTTTGAATTGAAATAGCTCAAAAACCAAATTAGATAGCAAGGCACTCTCGACGGTTTCTAAAACTAGAAAGTATAGCAAATTCTTTGACATACTGATCACCCAGGTGCGACTTATATTAATGTTATTTCTATAAGCACTCTTGCAGACATGATTTACAGTATGAACAAAATGAACAAGATAAATACAATCTATA